TGGAATCCGCAAAGTAGAGCGGATGAAAAAGAAACGGTCAAATAAGGCTTAAGGAGCACGTAACGCGAAGGTGAACGTAGTTAACACTCTGTAAGTGGACAGTGATTCATCCACTCTCAATATTAATTATGGACTCTCCAAACGCTGATTTATTGATTGACTAATAAACAATTTAGGTAGATACATGAAATTCTTTCTAAATTTTACAGTTTAAAGGGAGAACAACGCAGCAATGAAAAGGATTCATTTGTTAGTTATGTGCTACTTGAACGATAGGTATCTGCTGAGGAACAGTTGTCATCCTTAAAACACATTCAATTAACGCACAAAATTAACAATCAATTGAATTGTTTTTCAACTGCAAATCTGCAATATATTTTCGAATAATGAAAGAAACGCAATAATGAAGAACTGATCTTTGTGATAGAGCAGACCAAGTTAGCTTATTGTTGAGAAGGACGATTTGTTGAGGAAAAAAAGATTTGTGTGACGAGTTATGTTGCTACTAAATGCAACCTTCAGCCACTTGCAAGAAGTCTCACAAATGCTTTCGAATTGAGGCACTCCAATCTAGATACTCACTGTGGGATTTTCAACAAAAAATTCACACTATTATGATGCTCAATGGGAGGAGTTTCATCATAGCCAATTTAAAAAAAAGAATTTATAAGTATTTCATACGATTAAGGAGCGAAATAAGTATTGTTTACATGATGGACAAACATTCTGAATTGCATAAATGGCAAGACTGCAGCAAGTACTTCAAAAAAATCCCATCACTGGCAGTGACCTTGAAAACAAACAACAAATGTGACGCATAAAAATCAAAGTCTGCTAAGGAGGGAGTCCGGTAACGCAAACTCCCAAGGGAGGAACCGTGCTAAACGCCATCGAAGATGCAAAGATGCTGATGCCTTCTTGTCGGTTTCAGCACACATGAATTGGCAATTTTAGTTACTCGGTTTAACGCATATGCAGAAACGAAACCACTTTGAAGGCTGCCATTCATTGTGTTGGGTTGAGAAAGCATTCCTTTCTGATGAACACATTTTTACACCAATACCAATCACTCATTTTTCTACAATGATAAGCAAAAACTGTTGCAAATCGATGCAACATTATTTCTATGAAAACAGCTTTCTCTATCACTGATTAAAACACTCACTAAGGGAAAAATGATATGTCGCGAATGAATTCGACAGAAAATAAAACATTCAATGGATATGTTGTTGAAAACAAAACTGACCACATCAAAAGGCATTTGGTACGCCGACAAGAAGAAGTGATTCTAAAGAGTACTGTGAAGGACGTCATCAAACAATGAGTATTTCAAAATGAAAACTTCGTCTGTCATCCATTTAGATATCTATTCAAACAGAATGATTTTTTTTCGCGAAATGCACAAGAAGACAATCAATCGTCTTAATGGTGTCTACGATTGTGTTCATTCATTACCATTTGAAGAGACAAAAATGGACTAACACGAACGACTTTCACATTATGAAACCTAGAAAATAAGAGCTGAGACCTGATCTTCTACAACTTTTGAGGAGTTCATGTAAAGAAAATAGCTACATTCAATAATAGACGGTAAGCTATCATATGAAACTTCTTCGGGGAGTTTCTGATATGTATAAAAGGCTGGAACTGAAAAACCTTCAAAAATAAGAAGCATAATTAGTAAAAAGACTGTCGAGAATGGGAATGCAAAGCAGACGAACAAGAATACCAGTTAACGAAATTCAAAAATAAAACACTCTTGAAGGATCGCAAGAAACGATACATTGGAAACTCACAAATTTCCACGAGCATCTACTTGGGTAAAGAACCATTAAAGGAAATGAGGCTTTCCCAGTACATTCATAAAATGTGGAACATAGCAATATGACATCAACTACCGAACTGATATGATTTTAGTTTGCAAACGCTAACCCTTCTCCCATTTTTTTCACACCAGAATTCAAATAGCAAAAGAAACTCGAATAAAGTTATACAAGTGATGAAACTAACGTGTTATTAGCAAATGCTTTGTGTATCGAATGCAAAAATTTGGCACATTCATATGTACATGGAACGAATCAATCACAAATTTCAAAGACAAGCTGCACAAATTCAGTCACGCATGTTCATGAATATTACTTTAATCCACCAATTAAATGTCATTCATGCAACAACCAAAATTAACAACATTCATGTGCGGATAACAGTTTGCATTCATGATGGTGCAGTCTTTGCATATTACTTCTGCTCAGAATGATTGTGCAAATGGATGTGCAAAAATTTATGAAAACTTATATGCGAATTATTAATGCCAGATTCAAATGGATGAACATTAAAGCAGTTATGCTCTCTTCAAATGAAGAAAAACGCAACTGAAACACTTCTATAACATCTTGAAATAATCAGTAATTCCATAGCCAAGTTAAGATTTTCGTTAATTTGATAATAAATGGCTCTCCGAAGTTGAATCATGAAGTCTCGAGAACGAATTCGATATAGTTCAGTGAACTGAAGTAATGAATAAGCTGTGCTCAGCTTATTGATGAATGCCGTAGTAATCAATGCTGATAATAATGCAATGAAGAAATCAATGCATTTTCGAAAATGATCACATTAGAATGGTGGCCTTTCGTAGTAGTGATAAGAGGGCTAAGTCAAATGTGAGTAATAACACACTGCATCTATCCCTTGTATCAAATCAGCCCAGTGATTCAAAGAATAACGATGGAAAGGACGTTGGTTATTGATCAAATTCGGAATAATCCATCATCAGCGGATAAATGTAAACAAACTTTGATGAGCACCAAATAGTTGAATCAAATGAGCGAAAAGAATTCTGTGTGAGTGTGAGTGAGTATTTCGTGTTTGTCTTTTAGACTGGTTACATTTCCAGTTCCCCATTGAATACGAAATGTGATGAAGTAAATGCGATTGATGTAATATATTCGCAACATGCATAATATGGATGCGTTGGTATAAATGCACACACTCATTAAACAATTTCTCTGTATTCAGTCACTCGTCTTGCTTATTTACTTATGGTTCGGGCCATATGATCGGTAATTAATATTGATGAGTATCAGTTAAATAACGATGCCGCATTAT